ACACAGAGAGCAGATTTAATTAATGTCCTGCTGGAAGAGCATTCACTTCTTTCGACTTGGCGGGTAGGAACAGGATCTAAGAGCTTTGCAAACAGTTGAGAAGCTCACTGGACAGAGGAGCCTAGCGGGCTACAGTCCATAGGGTCACAAAGAGTCGGACACGACTGAGTGACTTACCACGAACACTTAAAAATACTCCTCTGGAGGGGACGGGTTTTACCGCCGCTGGTCTTCCACTCCCAAGAGAGAACGGAGGCGTGGCGCCCTGGGATGCCCCTCCCAGGGAGGTGCCAGGCGATGCCACCGCGACTCACTCCTCTGTGCTCGCCTCCTGGCTCAGCGGAGAGAGATACGACTGGAGTGCCTCCAAGCACGCAGGAGCCCGGGGAGGGGGCCCAGGCCAAGGTTAGGCTGGAGCTACGCAGCCCCATTACCGCCCGACAGCTCCAACAGCCGAGGACCCCGGTGGAGGAAGCGTGCGGAGGTGGGGGCTGGGAAGCGCGACTCCCTTGAGTTTAGCGCTAGGAGGCGCCGGACTTAAGCAGCGCCGGCCTTCCGCTCGCTCCCTCTGGACCAGTACTTATTTCTTCTCCCAAACCTGTCGCTGAAGGCTAGATGGGAGCACTCAAACTGGGATTCACCCTGCCCCTCCCCGCCTGCCCTCCGCCCCGTGCCAAGCCTTCCATGCTCCTGCGCTCCTACTGTACCTGGGCAAGTCCCCCTCCCCAACCTACCCCACCAAGCAGCAACCCCCTCCCCCACACGTCTCCCCCCACCCCGCCCCGCCCACTCGCACCTGGGCTCCTGGGGAGCGGGTGATCCCCGCCCAGAGGCTGGAGGCATCAGAAGACTGGGGTCCCCTGTGTCATCTACAGGACTCACCTAACTGAATGCAAATGGCGAGTGTCAGTGTCTTGGGAACCCCTGTCATTGTGGCAGCATGGAACAACTTTCACTCCCTGACAACTACTTCAGGTTATTGAAATAGAAAAAGGGCAGAACCAGCTGCTCCACTAAAGACTTATAGATTTAGCCTTACTTTTGCCCAGAAGGAAAAATATATATTCAGCTTACCTATACTACATTGCTTCTTAAAGTCCTAGTTTTTAAAAATCCAGGTAAAAAAGCAATCTATAGCTTCAGTGCAATCCCTATCAAGCTACCAATGGTATTTTTCAGAGAATTAGAACAAATAATTTCACAACTTGTAAGGAATTACAAAAAACCTCGAATGGCCAAAGCAATCCTGAAAAAGAAGAATGGAACCGGAAGAAACAACCTGCCTGACTTCAGGCTATACTACAAAGCAACAGTCATCAAGACAGTATCGTACTGGCACAAAGACAGAAACATAGATCATAGAAAGCCCAGAAATAAATCCACACACCTATGGACACTTTATCTTTGACAAAGGAGGCAAGAATATACAATGGAGAAAAGAAAATTTCTTTAACAAGTGGTGCTGGGAAAACTGGTCGACCACTTGTAAAAGAATGAAACTAGAACACTTTCTGACACCATACACAAAAATAAACTCAAAATGGATTAAAGATCTAAGTGTAAGAGCAGAAATTATAAAACTCCCAGAGGAAAACATAGGCAAAACACTCTCTGATGTAAATCACAGCAGGATCCTCTATGACCCACCTCCCACAGTAATGGAAATAAAAGAAAAAATAAACAAATGGGACCTAATTAAACTTAAAAGAGCTTTTACACAACAAATGAAACTATGAGCAAGGTGAAAAGACAGCCTTCAGAATGGGAGAAAATAATAGCAAATGAAGCAACCTGCAGCTCAATTCCAGAAAAATAAGCGACCCAATCAAAAAATGGGCCAAAGAACTAGACAGACATTTCTCCAAAGAAGACATACAGATGGCTAACACATGAAAACATGCTCAACATCACTCATTATCAGGGAAATGCAAATCAAAACCACAATGAGGTACTATCTCATGCCAGTCAGAATGGCTACTATCCAAAAGTCTACAAGCAATAAATGCTGGCGAGGGTGTGGAGAAAAGGGAACCCTCTTACATTGTTGGTGGGAATGCAAACTAGTAGAGCCACTACGGAGAAGAGTGTAGAGATTCCTTAAAAAACTGGAAATAGAATTGCCATACGACCCAACAACCCCACTGCTGGGCATACACACCGAGGAAACCAGAATTGCAAGAGACAAGTGTACCCCAATGTTCATTGCAGCACTGTTTACAATAGCCAGGACATGGAAGCAACCTAGATGTCCATCAGCAGATGAATGGATAAGAAAGTTGTGGTATATATACACAATGGAATATTACTCAGCCATTAAAAAGAATGCATTTGAATCAGTTCTAATGAGGTGGATGAAACTGGAGCCTATTATACAGAGCCAAGTAAGTCAGAAAGAAAAACACCAATACAGTATATTAATGCATATATATGGAATTTAGAAAGATGGTAATGATGACCTTATATGCGAGATAGCAAAAGAGACACAGATGTAAATAATGGATTTTTGGATTCTGTGGGAGAAGGTGAGGGTGGGATGATTTGAGATAATAGCATTGAAACATGTATATTATCATATGTAAAATAGATTGCTGGTCCAGTTTCCATGCGTGAGACAGGGTGCTCAGGGCTGGTGCACTGGGATGACCCTGAGGGATGGGATGGGGAGGGAGGTGGGAGGGAAGGTCAGGATGGGGAACACATGTACACCTAAGGCTGAGTCATGTGAATGTATGGCAAAAACCACCACAATATTGTAATTAGCCTCCAATTAAAATTTTAAGAACTCTGTGTAACAAAATACCCTGCATATGCTAAGTGAAAGTAACCAGCTTGACTAGGAAAATACTGCATGATATCTCTCGTACAAGGAATCTAAAAAATAAGAGGAACTACTGAATATAACAAAAAAGAAACAGACTCACAGATATAGAGAATAAATTAGTAGTTACCAGTAGAAATGACCCAGATAACCACGATGGTTTGATCACTCACTTAGAGTCAGACATCCTGGAGTATGAAGTAAAGTGGGCCTTAGGAAGCATCACCACCAACAAAGCTAGTGGAGGTGATGGAATTCTAGCTGAGCTATTTCAAATCCTAAAAGATGATGCAGTTAAAGTGATGCACTCAATATGCCAGCAAATTTGGAAAACTCAGCAGTGGCCACAGAACTGGAAAGTTCAGTTTTCATTCCAATCCCAAAGAAGGGCAATGCCAAGGAATGTTCAAACTACTGCACAACTGCATTCATTTCACGATACCATAGTGATGCTCAAAATTCTCCAAGCAAGGCTTCAAAAGTATGCGACCCGAGAACTTCCAGATGTAAAAAGAGGATTTAAAAAAGGGAGAGGAATCAGAGATCAAATTGCCAATATCTCATGGATCATAGAAAAAGCAAGGGAATTCCAGACAAACATATGCTTCATTGACTACACTAAAGCCTTTGACTGTGTGGATAATAACAAACTGTGGAAAATTCTTAAAGAGATAGGAATACCAGACCACCTTGCCTGTCTCCTGAGAAACCTGTATGAAGGTCAAGAAGCAACAGTTAGAACTGGACACATAACAACAGACTGGTTCAAAACTGGGAAAGGAGTATGTCAAGGCTGTATATTGTGATCCTGCTTATTTAACTTATATGCAGAGTACATCATGTGAAATGCTGGGCTGGATGAAGCACAGGCTAGAATCAAAACTGCTGGGAGAAATATCAATAACCTTAGATATGCAGATGACACCACCACCATCTTTATGGCAGAAAGTGAAGAACAAGAGCCTCTTGATGAAGGTGAAAGAGGAAAGTTAAAGAGCAGTCTTAAAACTTAATATTCAAAAAACTATGATCACCTTGTCCCATCACTTCATGGCAAATAGATGGGGAAACAATGGAAACAGAGACATTATTTCCTTGGGCTCCAAAATCACTTTGGACAGTGACTGCAGCCATGAAACTAAAAGACTCTTGCTCCTTGGAAGAAAAGCTATGACGATCCTAGACAGCTAATGTATTAAAAAGCAGAAACATCCCTTTGCTGACAAAGGTCCATATAGTTAAAGCTATGGTTTTTCCAGTAGTCACGTATGGATGTGAGAGTTGGACCATAAAGAAGCCTGAGCTTCGAAGAATTGGTGCTTTTGAACTGTGATGTTGGAGAAGTCTCTTGTTAGTCCCTTGGACTGCAAGGAGATCAAGCCAATCAATCCTAAAATAAATCAACCCTGAAAATTCATTGAAAGGACTGATGCTGAAGCTGGAACTCCAATATTTTGGCCACCTGAGGCAAAGAACTGACTCTGGAAAATCGGTGATGTTGGAAAAGACAGAGGTCAGGAGGATAAGGGGATGAGAGAGGACAAGATGGTTGGATGACATCACTGACTCAATGGACAGAAGTTTGAGCAAGCTCCAGGAGATGGTGAAGGACGGGGAAGCCTGCCATGCCGCAGTCCATAGGGTTGCAAAGAGTCTGAGTTGACTTAGCGACTTAACAACAACAACAATGCTCAAATCCATTTGGATCTCCAAATTAAACTGGAGTTTCACCTTGTTATCTTGAAGGTCTTCCCTGAAGGTAGTCTAAACCGACACAGTTGTGGTTCCAGGCTCTCCACTTGGCCAGCTGGACAGAAAACCCAAAGTTGCAGAAACCAGTTAACAAACAAGCAGGAGCGAATGACTTACCCTAAGTCCACAAGCGTCCGCCGGGGCTGCATTCAGTAGTTTTAGGACGTCAGCCGGAACCGTCTCTCCTAAACTCTCAGCTCTGCTTGCTGGCGTCCTCCTCACACAAGTGGCTCTGCCTTTACGGAAGCGAGATAGCAACCAAGCACCATAAGCTGACGTCACGTCTGCTTCCACGCGTGCAAGCAGACCTCATCTCGCAACTGCTCCCAACGGAAATACAGCTTCTCTTCCCCGGAAGTCGAGCAGGACGCCCAGTCCTGACTTCTGATTGGCCACTCTCTCAGTCTTGAGCCAATCATGGTGGCCAGGGTGGATGGAACATGCTCACTGGCCAGGTGAAGGTCACGTGACCATCCTCTCTAGGAGACTTGCTAACTGTTCGCCCTGAGTCTGGGTGGGAAATTGTGTGATTCCGTGAGCGGAGGTCGGAATCCAGTTCCTGTGTTCTCTGTTTCCTGGGATGTACCTGCTAGCATCCTCTTCCCATACCTAGCCCTCCTGTTTACAAAAGAATTCCTGATTCATCTTCTCCCTTCCCAAGCTCCATTTCACCCACTCACACCACAAAGGAGCAAGACCACCTGTTTGAAGACACGGTGGGGGTCGCCGCCCAGCCCCCACACTTGCTCTTTGTGTCCTTTTACACAGATTCATTCAGTCAACAAACTTCCACTGAGCCCCTGCTACACGCTGGAATAGGTTTGCAGGACCGTTAGTTCTGAGTACTAGGCGCCACCCAGGGGCCTCCCAAAGGGATCCAGTTTTTGTCTGAGGAAGCGTCTGGAGGTGAGCTTCATGTCCCACTCTGCCACCCACTGTGTCGTCTTGAGGAAGTGTTCCCCCTCTCGGGCCTCTCCTTTCTTATCTGCAAAATGAGGCGCTAGGGAAAATGAGGCTCCTGGAACCCCCTCAACTCTGACATACTGTGGTTGGGTCTTAAAACCTGTTTCTCCAGCTGTGAGTCAGCCTGTGAGCTCTATGGACAGTGACGATACTCCAGGAAAGGGCTGGGCTGAGATGAGTCCAAGATCACACAGCTGTGTACCTAAATCCCTCTCCCTCTCAGCTGGTAGGGGCACCAGGGCAGAGGAGGATCAGGACTTCCTGTGCCTGTGAGGAGCCTGGCTCTAGGTCCCCATGGGGTTGCCTGTTGCTGCTCCAGAAAAAATCTCTTCTGGGGCATTTGTGATTCCCAAGCCCTCCCACTGAAGGTCAACTTTGGGGCTCTGAAAGGAAGTAGAGGGAGGACACAGGAGGGGAGGAGAGGGTGAGTTGGAAGTCCCATGCAGCCTGTCCCCCATCCACCTCCCCTTCCTCCCCCACCCCCTTCCTCCCTTTCTCTGTCACAGATTAAATCGGTCATGGCTTCTTGAAATAGAGACTCTTGGTGTGTTGGTGGAGGAACCTTTGTGAAGCAGGCTCAGTGGGGAGAACATTTTCTTCTGGAGGAGTCTAGTTTCTCTTCACTCTGAATATTTGGGGACTTGAATTAACTACGCTGGTCAGTCTGTCACTTTTTGTCAGTTCACTTCATTAATCCATCTATTTCCTTTAATTTAGCTCATCCGTTTTTGTTTTTGTTTTTCCAAATAAGGAAGACATTGGAAAACAGAGAACCTAAGAACAGAAACTGGATTAGCTGTCCTTCCAAAAGACAGGAGCAGCAGCTGGTAAGACATGTGAGTGAGTGAGTGAATGAGTGAAGTCGCTCAGTTGTGTCTGATTCTTTACGACCCCATGGACTATAGCCTACTAGCTCCTCTGTCCATGGGATTTTCCAGGCAAGAATACTGGAGTGGGTTGCCATTTCCTTCTCCAGGAGACCTTCCCGACCCAGGATTGAACCCAGGCCTCCCACATTGTACACAGATGCTTTACCATCTGAGCCACCAGGGAAATCTTCCACCTTTTGGGGCCACATAGTCACTCACCGCTGCTTCTCTTTGTGCAGCACTAGGTCCTCCCCTCTTTAAGTCTGTTGGTTTCTCTCCAGTTCCACTGCCAGAACCCTGATTTAAAAGTCTATCCTTTGTCCTCAGAAAACTGAAGTGGCCTTCTAGTGTTTCTCCCCACATCCACTCTCCTGTTCTCCTCACTATAGCCAGGGTGACTTATTAAAAATTGAAAATGTACTCAGTGGTTTTCCACTGCTCATGAGATAAACGTCAAAACCTTAAGCCTGGAGTGGAGCCAGATTATGATCCATCCACATTCGGTGCCCTTTGCTGCGGTGTCCCTCTTTTTGGGGATTATACAGCCCTGTCCCTTGTCTGTCATTGCAAAGGGGCTGATGAACAGGGGGAGAAATGTGAGCACACACTTAAGAACCAGTGTGTAGGCCTGAACAGTGGTGTGGGCTCAGCACCAGCCTTCTTTTTAAATCACTGGAGAGTGGAGCCGGCGGCGGCGGCGGCGGCGGCGGCGGCAGCGGCGGGTGACCAGCCGACCGTGTGCCGGATGGGACAGGACGAGGCTGCGGCGATGCTGCCGCCTGCGTAAGGAGCGCCGAGGAGGCCGCGGCCCTTGAGGCCCCAGAAAGCGCGGAGGAGCTGCGGGCTGTGGTCGGTGGCTTCGGGTGCCCGCCGGGCCATGGTGGCCGCGGGAGGTGGTTGGCGCGGCAGTGCTGCGGCCCGGGGCGGTGCGGGGCCGGGACAGTCGCGGCGCTGACGCCCGCAGGGCCCAGCCGCAGATATGAAGCGGAGCCGCTGCCGCGATCGACCGCAGCCGCCGCCGCTCGGCAGCCGGCCGGGAGGATGGGGCTCAGCGGGCGGCGGAGCTGCCCCCAGTCCCAGCCCCTGCCCCTGCGCCGGCGAGCGCCGCCCGGGAGGCAGCGACTGAAGGAGCGGACCGGGCCCGCGGGGCCCGAAGTCAGGGAGCAGGATGTGATAACTGGACGTAGTCCCCTGCTCTTCAGGAAGTTTAGTAATCCTGACATATTTTCATTCGCTGGAAAAGCTAAACTTCAACGACAACTTAGTCAGGATGACTGTAAGTTACGGAGAGGAAGCCTGGCCAGTTCTTTGTCAGGTAAGCAGCTGCTCCCCTTGTCCGGCAGTGCACACAGCAGTGTGGGACAGGTGACTTGGCAGTCTTCAGGAGAAGTGTCCAACCTGGTGCGGATGAGGAAATCAGTCCCTCGGACAGTCTGCGCCTTCCCTTACCGCTGGCTTGAAGGAGCTGAGCCTAACAAGAAGAGGCAGCTTTGACAAATAGATTCAAGGGATTAGATCTGACAGACCGAGTGCCTGAAGAACTATGGAAAGAGGTTTGAGACATTGTACAGGAAGCAGTGATCAAGAAAAGTGACCATCAAGCAGTGACCATCCCCAAGAAAAAGAAATGCAAAAAGGCAAAATGGTTGTCTGAGGAGGCCTTACAAGTCGCTGAGAAAAGAAGAGAAGTGAAAGGCAAAGGAGAAAAGGAAGAACCTTGCTATTCTTTGGAACTCTGCATTCAAATGGGTATATCTTTCCTTTTCTATTGTTAGTTCTAATCCTGTTATCTTAAAATGTATATTGTGGGAGTGGGTCTGGTAAGACCCTTACAACCTTGAGACATTCTTTTGATTTACTGTAATAACCAATTGAGAAAGTATATAGCTCCCTTGCTAAGACTAGGGGGGGGGGGGGGGGCACTCTCTGTCCCCCTTCTGATGTCTATGTCAGAAGCTTTCTCTCTCCCTTTTAATGCTTTAATAAAACTCTGCTACACACACACACACACAAAAAAAAAAGAACCAGTGTGTAGCTCACCTCTTCTTTTTCTTTTTCTCTGGCAAAGATGATAAGTATATAGACTGCTCTGTCAGCCCAAGGCGAGAGGGAAAATGACATGGAGCAGAGCCATGTAAGCATATGTACATATATCATGTGGTATGTAGTGTGCATTATCTAGCATGTAGTATGTACTATACATTAAGCATGTAGTGTGTACTATGCAGCATGTAGTATGTAGCATATATATACAGCACGGGTTCTTTGGTCTGGGTGAAGGCTAGTTCTCTGACTGCTGCTTTTCTTACATTCGTAAATTCCCATGGTTTCTATAGAAAGCACTGCATTTGGTATTTTTCTTTCTTCAGGTCAGTTGTTGTTCAGTCACTAAGTCATGTCCAGCTCTTTGCAAACTCATGGACTGAAGCACACCAGGCCCTGTCCATCACCATCTCCTGGAGCTTGCTCAAACTCATGTCCATTGAGTTGGTGATGCCATCCAACCATCTCATCCTCTGTTGCCCCCTTTTCCTCCCACCTTCAATCTTTCCCAGCATCAGGCTCTTTTCCAATGAGTGGGGTCTTCACATCCATTGGCCAAAGTATTGGAGCTTCAGCATCAGTCCTTCCAATGAATATTCAGGGTTGAATTCCTTTAGGATAGACTCGTTTGATCTCATTTGATCCAGGGGACTCTCAAGAGTCGTCTGTAGCACCACAGTTTGAAAGCATCAAATCTTCGGTGTTCAGCCTTCTTTATGGTCCAACTCCCACATCTGTACATGACTACTGGAAAAACCATAGCTTTGACTAGATGAACCTTTGTCAGCAAACTGATGTCTTTGCTTTCTAGTATACTGTCTAGTTAATACAGCTTAGCTGTGTTGTGTTAAATCCCAGTTGTTTAGGGTTTCTTGAGGGCAGGCCTCATTATGAAGAATAAAATGCTGTTGGGCCTACTTCAGGACAGTTTCTTTCTCCCCTGCTAGAAGTGGAGCACACTGTCTCCTTTTTCAGTGCAAGAACCAAGTAGAATTCTGAAGGTAAGACTCAGAAAGCTGGGGGGAACCCTCATCATACTGGGCCTCCCCAAAGATTTTAAGTCTCAGACCGGCTGCACTGAGCCTCCAGCATCTGTTGATTGTAATTCAGGTTTCCTCCTTGGTGTCCATGTGCATTTCTGCTCCGGTGCATCAGAGCCCACCTGTCTGTCTCTGAGACCCCAGGCCTGGTGTTGGCCTTCTGACCTACCTCACTTTTCTGATGGCTCTAACAGAGCCATTATTAAAATTACTGATTTTTGGTTTAGTTTTTCACTTGTTAGAATGGCAGCTTCCAAACTCTTCACATGCCGAACCAGAAACCAAAAGGCTGAATTATCCTTTTTATCCCTTTATTTCCCTGTGAAAGCTTTGCTTTTTTCAATGATTATTAATAAAATCATCTCTCATTTCATTCTTAATTCCCAGTTATTTGTTATACTATGATTTGTCTAACTATTCTTCCTTTGATAGAAATTTGATGATGTCCAGCTTCACTATTTATCATAGACACTGCTGCAGTAAGATTCATGTAAAGAATTTATTACACTGATAGCTAACTGCTCAGTTTGTCTTGCTTTCTCTTAGATAGCAAGCAATTTTTAACATTTCTTTTGTGGGGATTATATGCTCTATAGTGAAGTTAATGCTATTCTTGGATAAAGACTCTTATGAAGAAATTGGACTTCAAGGCTGTCCATCTCAGTATTCTGGGAGAAAGAAATCATGAAATTTAAGAAGTATTATGCTCACTCTGGTCTTCTGAGGTGTTACTAGTGGTAAATAATCCACCTGCCAAGGCAAGAGACACAGGTTCAATCCCTGGGTGGGGGAGATCCAATGACATAGGAAGTGGCAACCCTCTCCAGTATTCTTGCCTAGAGAATCCCACGGACAGAGGAGCCTGGTGAGCCAAAGAATCAGACACGACTGAGTGACTAAACACACATGCACATGCTCACTCCATCACTTTTTAACAAACTAGTAACATTTTTAAATAAAAAATACTTTATGCATCATAATACAATCTCTGAACAACTCACCCTGAACTCAGGCTTATGGGGTGGAGCATATGTGACAGTTAAGGGATAGGACAGGCTGTAAGCTAAATTTAAATGCCTCTGTTCTTTTTGCTCAGGAAAAGTATCACTTTCTTTTGCCTTTAAAACTTCTGACTCCAGGGGTGTCAGAGGATATCACTGTTGCACTTGCTGCTCTTCCACCGCAAAGCTGCCAGTTACAAAGCTTGTAGAATTGAACATGGTGCAGTAGACATCTGGGTTTTGGGTCAGATATTCAAAGCAATGAACCCAAGAGAGGGATTGACAAAATTTGATTCTCAATGGAGAATATCCTTTGACTTCCCCAGGACTCCATGATTACTGAAAAAACTCGCTCATGATTCTGGAGATATGGTTCTGCTGAGGACGTCTGGCTTGAACATCAGTAGTTAAGGCTTTCATGTCCACGGGTGGTTTAAAGTTGACCTCCTGATGACCTCTGCTGTTGGTCACTGACCATGGGAAATTAAGAATTTAAAACAGCACAATGCTGGAAATGCTGATTGTAGAAAGTTTGATGGAAGAATTTATTAAAATATTTATTCATTTGGGCGTGTTGGGTCTTAGTTGCGGCATGCAGAATCTTTCATTGTGGCGTGTGGGCTTCTCTACTTGTGGCAGTCAGATTCTAGAGTATGAACTCTGTTGCCCCATGACATAAAGGATCTTAGTTCCCAGGCCAGGGATGGAACCCATGTTCTCTGCATTGGAAGGCACATTCTTAGCTGATGGACCACCAGGGAAGTCCCTGGAACAATTTTTACTATCCATAAAATTTACAAAACTCTGATCTTTAAAAGAAAAAAAAGTACTCTTTTTCCACAGTGTGTGTTTACAGATGAAATTTCTATCCCTCTATTTTAAAAATAGTTTCTATTTATCTGATGAATTTATCTTTTAATCAGGATTCTAGGAAGTGTGAAAGAATATCATTCTCCTTCAAAGAAAAGCAGCCATAGAAATTTGATTTTGACTGGGGTTCTTTGATATTAAGCTGCATGAGCAATTTATTTTGGAAATTAATCTTTTGTTGGTTGCATCATTTGGAAATATTTTCTTCCACTCTGTAGATTGTCTTTTCATTGTATTTATGGTTTCCTTTGCAAAAGCATTTAATTAGGTCCTATTTATTTTTATTTCCATTACTCTAGGAGACAGATCCAAGATCTCTCTGCGATTTGTCAGTGTTTTTTCTGCTGATTCTCCTCTAGGAGTTTTATAGTACCCAGCCTTACATTTAGGTCTTTAATCCACTTTTGAGTTTCTTTGTATATGGTGTTAGAGAACATTCTAATTTCATTCTTTTACATGAACCTATTCACTTTTCCCAGCACCACTTATTGAAGAGACTTTTCTCCATTGTACCCTTGTCTCCTTTGTTGTAGATTGACTGTGTGTGTTCTCAGTCATGTCTCTTTGCAGCCCCATGGACCATAAAAGGGCTTATTTCTGGACTTGAATGCTGTTCCGTCTATCAGTACTTCTGCTTCTGTGCCAGTACCATACTGTTTTGAATACTGTAGCTCTGTAGCATGGTCTGAAGTCAGGGAGCCTGATTCCTCCAGCTCCATTCTTTCCATCTACTTGTATGGTTGTCAGTTTCTTTCATCAGCATCTTAGTTTTTGGAATATGGGCCTTTTGTCTCCTCTTAGGTTTATTCCAAGGTATTTTATTCTATTTGATGCAATGGTAAATGTGAAAGTTTCCTTAATTTCTTTGATATTCCATTGGTGGTTTATGTCTCAAAATGCAACAGATTTCTGTGTATTAATTTTGTATCCAGCAACTTTGCCGAGTTAATTAACAAGCTTCAGTAGTTTTCTGTGAGTGTCTTTAGGATTTTCTCCATACAGCATCATGTCCTCTATAAAATGGTATTTCTGTGGCAAGTGCAGACAGGAGAGGGGAGCAAGGCCAGGCTAGTATGTTGGGGTGGTCCCTGGAATGGAGCAGGGCTTTCACAGGACACTTTTCTTCCTCTCTCCTTTTCTCAACCCCCTCTTGGTTCCTGGTTGAGGGGGTAACAGTCAGTTGGCAGGGGCAGGCTGGAATGGCTGTGACATTTCTGCAGTCCAGTGCTTTGGTCAAGTCACAGACTGTCAACCCTTCCTGGTGGGAGCTTTCAAAGACAAAGCATGGGGCCGGGAGGCAGGGGAGGAGGTAGGCTGGAGGGGGTGTAAGAGGTCCCTCAGGTAAATGTGCCCAAACTGATGATGGACACAGCCCTAGCAATCACAGTACTGAAATCCTTCCAAGCTGAGTGAAAACCAAACATGCTCTAACCTCACTATCAGGAGCTAAAGGGATACCACTTGGGGTTTTGAACTTCATCCCTTGAAACACCCTTTGAAAGCAAGTTGCACACAAACTGCTTGGCAGGCCTGAATTCTGCTTTCCATCAGAAGATGCAAGTGTCACTCAGACCCCAGCAGCCTGGCCCCTGCAGGGCAGCCCTCTTGGTGCAGCCAGGAGCTGAGCACATATCTTGGTTCCTGACACGGCAGTCATCCAGGAATACGATTTGCTCACAGAACAGGTCAGACCTCATATCACACTCTACCTGCAAAAAGCAAGGGAAGCACTTTCTATAACAAGTCAGCAAACGGACCACAGGGACTGGTCCCTGGAGAAGCTTAAGGTGTAAGGTGGGTGAGGCCAGGGTGGGCAGCAGATCCTGAGTGTCCCCTCTGGGGGACAGCTCCTGGGAGCCCATGAGCTACACTCGGCACTCGGGCAAGACCTCCGAGGCTCACAGTGCACTGAGCTGGGGAAGCCCTGGTCCAGGGTGGTCCCAATCTCTCGAATCCTACCGACTGACAGGCAGATGTCAAATTCCCTCTAACTGTCCAAATCAGCAATTTATCATCACATGCTGGTGCAGTGTTAAACAAAAACTTCAAAAGACGGTGACTCTTGCAAAGCCCTGGGGCCTGGCTGCCTTTAATGACGTTTGTGATCCTTCATGAAGAAAAAAAAGCAGCTGATATTGCAAATTCTAACAACCAGTAGCAGCACACAGATAATAGTTTTATTATGAATTTAAAAACCTAAACATTTCATAAGGATTGGGAAGCCTGCCCACAGAGCCGTCCTGCTGCATTTCCAACTCCCCATATCCACACCTCACTGCACACACCCCAATGACGCACAACCTGCAGTACAGAGAATGTCCTTTATTTGTACTATTGGTAGAAAACTGGGTTTTAGATTTCAAAATCTGTATTACAAAATTACCAGCAGCAGTTTTGAGCATTTCAACAATGCTGATGAACTCTACTTTGCTGAAACAAACAAGGCAGGACCTGTCCAAGGTGGACTGTTACACGTCCTGAGGTGCTGAGGCCATCCTGCTCAGGACCCATTTGCAACAGTGTCTTCTTCCATCTCCTCTTCACCATCATCAGTTGGGCCTAGAAAACACACAAAGCCAGAAGTCACACCTAGATTAGAGCATGTGTGGGCATCCACCCACGACACTGCTGTTACCTGCCAGACCCTAGACCAGGTGCAGACGCCTGACAGCGGCCTCAGCCTAGAGGAACTTAGGTCCAGGGACCACCTATCTTTGGCAGGCCCTGGAAGAATGGTCAGCTTCTAGGGAATGGGTCACAAAGCTGCTTCATAAAAGTCAACTCTATGCTTGCTGTTCTAACCCACTCTGGTCAACTCATGTTTTATCAAGATAAGCAGCTTATACTTTAGGTTTTGTTCTTGCCACAACGATGGGCAAAGAAACTGCGAGCATTCCAAAGAAAGACGGGAGAGGATACCTACTACATGATGTGGATAGTCAGCCAGTGATTCTGTCTAAATTATGTTTCCAGTTAGACCCAAACGTTACATTTCTAGACACAAAACTAAAGAAAGTGAGAATGTCACTGGGAACTGCTGTTCAGACGCCTGGGAGTGAGAATGTCACCAGGAACTGCTGTTCAGACGCCTGGGCCTACTGAAACCTAGAGAACCAAGAACAATTCCCACCTTCCTCTCCTCAAGGCGCCCAACATGTGTTCAGACGACACTGAAAAGCCCCACGTGAGTCCAGGCCCACCTAACATGCTCAAGGGGAGGCACAGTAACTGAGGAGTTCTGCCACACTGCAGCCAAAGTGAGCCACGTGACACAGCCCCCTCCCTGCCTGTCACCAGCCCCGTGGAGGTCTTGGCAGCCTGTGCTGTTCTCAGGATCACAGGTCCCTCATTTCATGGCCTACAGGGCCCTCTGTGGCTGGACTCAGAGCTCTCCCTGCCAGCCTCTTTCACCCTTTCCCCCCAACAGGCCCTGGACCTTGGCTCACAGTCCTCCTTCAGGCCCAGGGTGCAAGGCTCTCTCACCACAGAGTGCTCCTTCCCCTGAGAATACCATTCTGCTCTGTCTAGGTCACAGGTTCTCAAATACTTTAGTTTTAGCACCCAAAGAATTTTTCTTCAAGTAGATTACTTTTTATCAATACTATGTTGGAAACTGAAAGCATTTAAAAAAAAACTAATTCCTTAATAAACCTAGTACTATTAATGTTTGCATTTTTATAAAATACAGTATCAATATTTTCTAAAATAAAAATATATAGTGAGAAAGTTGGTGCAGTTTCCTACTTTTGCCCATCTCTGCAATGGCTGCCCAGTAGTAGACGGCCCCTTGCTCTGCCTTCACCATTCTACTCACTAAAATATGTTGTTCTGACTAAAGGGTGTGAAGAAAGCCAGGCCCACAAAGACATGCAGTGAGAAAACGGAGGAGTATCTTAACAGCCTGTGCAGGCAGTGATGGGTATTTTTTTGATACTGTGCCAAAACTTGACAAAAGTGTTAGTTTTTCGCTTTTGTTCTTTTGGTCTCCCCACTTAGCTTGTAGGATCTTGGTTCCCTGACCAGGGATCAAACCTGGGCAATGAAAGCTGAGTCTTTCACTGGGTCACCAGGAATTTCCCAAAGTGGTATTTTCTTAAAGGTTAGATTGCAAATGTTGGCCCATTTCTTCACATCAAACGATGTGTCCCCGGGGTGATATCCAGGAACACCAACGATCCTCACTGCTTCACAAAGGACCTCATTGGGTGCACGGCAGCTCAGAATGACACCTAGTATCATTGGCCCTGTGAACCCATGCACCTGGGCTGAGGCACCAGCAACTCTACCTGCCATTGCTCTGGCACTATCAGGCACAAATGGTTACACGTAAAAAGCAAATAATGCCTCGGTGTTTGTAAGTTTTCCTCATGGAGCCCCAGGGGCCCAAGGACCACACAGTGAAAACTGCTGCTCTAATGAATGTCTTACTCACTTCTAGCTTCAGTTCAAACATTATTTCCTCAAGGGAATTTGCCCTGAGCCACTGGTCTAGACAGAGCCCCCAGTTACATTCATGTCACACTTGTAACATGCACCGTCTGTAGCAGTTTTCACTTTACACCCCAGTCAGTGTCCATCATGCTGCCCAACACAGAGCTGGTGTTCACAATCAGAACAGCTTACACCTGGTGCTCAGGGCCTAGGAAGCCCCTTACTTAAGTCCTTCCAACAACCTTCTTAGGTCACCACTACTACTATTTGGTTAAAGATGAGCAAACAGATTTAAGATCAAGTGGGGTTAAGAAATTCATCCAAGGACAAAGCTGGTGAAGCTACGCTCTGAGCCTCAGTCTGTCTGGCTCCAGAGCCCATGCTCTCCACTGCTAAGTGGGCCCACATGGACAGG